GTCAGATGCATCTGACAAAGTGAGTCTTTGCCCACAAAAGCTTATGCTTCTACGCTTGAGTTAGTCTCTAAGGTGCCACAGGACTCCTCGAGCGCAGTACAGCTCATCACATGAGTGAGTGGACCTTGAGGCTCCGATCCTGGTGTTCACGCCTCTGAAGCTTTTGACAGCTAGTCACACTGGGGCGTGGGAACACTTATAAGAGGGGGGGTGCTGATATCCTCCCACTACCCTGTCCTGCCCCGGCTGAGAGCAAAGCCCTAATGTGCGGAGCTAGCAGCTGGGTCCCCAGGCATGCGGCTGGAAGCAGAACCCCCACCACCCCAGAACTGAGGCCAGAGCGTTATGGGGCAGCAGCCGGGACCCTGGGTGCAGAGCCAGCAGCTGAGCCCCTGGAGTGTGGAGAGGCAGCTGGGTTTCCGGGCATTAGGCCAGGAGCCTGGGGGTGCTGCAGCACTCCCCAACCTCTAGTTCCCATGCCTATGTAATCATGCTCGTGTGTGAGGATGATAATCACGCTGGTAGTGCACTGACTGCCCCCTCGTGCCCACAGCCTTCACGACTGTGCTTGGTCCGACGTGCCAGACCTCAGGCACATCTGCCTTGGGGGAGAGAAGAGCTCCAGATGGCGGAGCCTGGCCTCGCCCTTTCCTTCCCGAACGGATGCCCGTCACTAGGGGACAGCCCGCAGGCCTGCTGACAGCGAACTCAAACCCAACCCTGGTGAGGTGTGGCCAGGACCCAGGCACACAATCCGGGCGTCCCGCTGCCCAGGGTTGGGAAAAGCAAATTCTCACCATTGCGATAGTTTTATTAGGGGTTAATTTGTGGGACAGGTTACCCCACATCTATGGAATACGGGACCTTCTGTACCTTCCTCTGAAGCCCCGATCAGATGCATACTGGGCTGAGTGGGCCATGGGTTAGATACAGTCTTCTCATCCCCAGGGATCCACAGCCGGTCAAGTTCCCCAGGGAGCAGTCAGCTGGTAGGGACCCAATCCCTTCTTCCCTCTGTCTGCTGTATCATTGGGCAGCCAGACTGGGTCAGATCAAAACTCCATCTAGCCCAGTGTCCTGTCTGCCAGGTGCCCCAGAGGGTGAACAGATCAGAGAACCATCAAGTCATCCATCTCCTGTTGTCCATTTCCAGCCTCTGACAGAGTAGGGACACCATTCCTGCCCATTCTGGCTAATAGCCAGGGCTCAGCAAATAATGTAATCTACTCACCACGGGCGAGTAGATTACAACCCGGAAGAGCCAGCGCAGAGCGATCTGTACATGCGCAGAACTGCGTGAAACACATGCGTAGAACACAGAACCGCGCGAAACCGCGCAGCTGGCGGCCATTGATGGATGCACCCTCCATGAGTGTATCTAGCTCTTTACTGAACCCTGTTAAAGTCTTGGCCTTCACAACACCTTCTGGCAAGGAGTTCCACAGGTTGATTGTGCGCTGCATGAAGAAATACTGCTTTTGGTTTGTTTTTAAATATTTCATTTGGTGCCCCCTAGTCCTTGGCTGCATCTAGACTGGCAAGTTTTTCCACAAAAGCAACTGCTTTTGCGGAAAAACTTGCCAGCTGTCTACACTGGCCGCTTGAATTTCCGCTAGAACACTGACGATCTCATGTGAGATTGTCAGTGTTCTTGCGGAAATACTATGCTGCTCCCGTTTGGGCAAACGCCCGCTTGCGCAAATGCTTTTGTGCAAGAGGGCCAGTGTAGACAACACGGTATTGTTTTGCGCAAAAAAGCCCCGATCACGAAAATGGCGATCGGGGCTTTCTTGCGCAAAACCGCGTCTAGATTGGCACAGACACTTTTCTGCAAAAAGTGCTTTTGTGGAAAAGCATCTGTGCCAATCTAGACGCTCTGTTCCGAAAATGCTTTTAACGGAAAAACTCTACCTTAAAAGCATTTGCGGAAAATCATGCCAGTCTAGATGTAGCCCTTGTGTTATGGGAGCAAGGAAACAACTTTTCCTTCGTTACTTTCTCCACACCAGCCCTGATTTTATACAGCCCTGTCATATCCCCACTCAGTCACCTCTTTCTCAAGCTGAAAAGTCCCAGTCTTATTAATCACGCCTCGTGGGTGGTCTGCAGGCAACAGTGTGGCTTGCTAAACAGGACAGGAACTTCCCCTGGCTGAGCTGACTCAGGCAGGACCAGGCCAACTCGGCCCATATGGGGGGCGGGGGTGTCTCCTTTGGCCGTGCTGAGCTGTCTCCAAGGGTCAGCTTAGATCTGTAGCCTAGCCCACGTGTGAGGCTGTGTCACTGTCCTTCAGGAGAAGGAGCCTTCTTATACCTGAGGATAGTTTTCACTCCTGATTTAACTTTAGACCGGTCAGAAAGGGCCGTGGTGCCAGTCCTGTCCTGCCTGCTGCCTGCAAGAGAGTAGAAAGAGGCGAGACCGCGAGCAGGAGCATGTGAAGAAGAGAAGGAAAAGGGAGGGCCAGCTGCTGTTAATCTTTTCCCCTGAGGCAGGGCAGTGAATGGCCAACCTGTTTTCCAGCAGGTTCTGGAGCACTGAAGTTGCACGGGGGCTAGGCCCTGCCAAGGGCGGGTGCCCAAACACCTCCCCGCAGAAAGGGAGTCAGAAAACTGCTGCTCTGAGAGCAAGTGGCACCTGGAGGGAATTAGGCAGAAGGGTTCCACCTCCTTGCAAACCTTTTGTAGAGCAAATTCTTGTGGTTACCCATTGCAATTGCTGCAAATTATACAAGCGCCGTGTAGTTTTGTTGCAATGGGCGCGTGCAGCTGGTAAGTCTGATCTGCCTCTGTGTGTGTGTTCACATGCGAACACGCCTGCCCAAACCATTATGCTGGATTTTTGTTTATGGCTAGAAAGAGAAAAGAGAGCTCCCTGCAGGACGACGAGGGCAGAAGGCTCGGGGTTGCCGGGTTAGCACCTCCAGCGGGTTTTCTGCTGTTGCGATCATTTTGATTTTTGAGAGTTGAGATCATTTTGATTCTGAGAGCTCCAGAGGTGATCCTGGCAATTACAGACTAGTAAGTCTAACAAATTAGTTGAAACTATAGTAAAGAATAAAATTCAGACACATGGATGAAGATAATTTGAGGAAAAGTCAACATGGTTTCTGTAGGGGGGAATCATGCCTTACTAATCTGTTAAAGTTCTTTGAGAGAGGGTTAACAAACATGAGGGATCCAGTGGATATAGTGTGCTTAGAGTTCCAGAAAGCCTTTGACAAGGTCCCTCACCAAAGGCTGGCTCTTAAAGTAAGTTGTCATGGGAGAAGAGGGAAGGTCCTCTCATGGACTGATAACTGGTTAAAAGATAGGAAACAAAGGGTAGGAATAAATGGTCAGTTTTCAGAAGGGAGAGAGGTAACTAGAGGGGTCCCCCCAAGGGTCTGTACCTGGACTAATCCTATTCAACCTATTTATAAATGATCTGGAGAAAGGTGTGAACAGTGAGGTGGCAAAATTTGCAGATGATCCAAACTGTTCAAGACAGTTTTATGATATTTTTGAATTTCTTCAGTCTGCTTGGGTCTCAACTAAGTGATTGGGCAACAAAGTGGCATATTAAATTTAATGTTGATGCATGTAAAGTAATGCACATTGGAAAAAATAATCCCAACTATATGTACAATGTAGCTATAATTACTCAAGAGAGAGATCTTGGAGTCATTGTGGATAGTTCTCTGAAAACATCCATTCAATGTGCAGCGACAGTCAAAAAAGCAGAGTGTTAGGAATCATTAAAAAAGGGAAAGGGAATAAGACAGAGAATATCTTATTGCGTCTAAATAAAGTATGCCCACATCATGAATACTGCGTGCAAATGTGGGCATCTCATCTCAAAAGATATCTTGGCATTGGAAAAGGTACAGAAAATGGCACAAAAATGATTAAGGGTTTAGAACAGGTCACATATGAAGAGGGATTAAAAAGACTGGAACTTTTCATCTTAGAAAAGAGGAGACTAAGGGAGGATATGATAGAGGGCTATAAAATCATGACTAGTGTGGAGAAAGTGAATAAGGAAAAGTTATTTACTTGTTCCCAAATATAAAAACTAGGGGTCACCAAATAAAATGAATACTAAGAAGGTTTAAAGCAAACAAAAGGAAGCTTTTCTTTACGCAGTGCACAGTCAACCTGTGGAACTCCTTGCCAGAGGATGTGGTGAAGACCAGGACTCTAACAGGATTCCAAAAAGAACTAGATGACATTCATGGAGGTTAGGTCCATCATTGGCTGTTAGCCAGGATGGGTAGAGATGGTGTCTCTAGCCTCTATCAGAGGCTGGGAATGGGTCACAGGACAGGGATTGCTTGATGATTCCCTGTTCTGTTCACTCCCTCTGGTGGATCTGGCATTGGCCACTGTGGGCAGACGGGACACTGGGCTAAGTGGACCTTTGGTCTGGCCCGGTCTGGCCGTTCTTAGGAGAGGCAGACAATGGACTGAATGCTGGAGCGGAGCCAGGTGGAGCTGTGAGAAACTCACTCGTTTCATGGCACGGGGTTGCTGGGGAGCTTGGCCCAAGTGGTTTCGACGTGGGGGGAGAGCACGCAGTGCAAGAGAAACCGTTAATGCCGTATTTGTATTCCAGAGGCATCTATTATTAATATTGTTGTTACACGCCCCAACTGAGATCAGGGCTGCATGGTGCTAGGGGCCATATATGCAAATAGAGTGAGACAGGCCCCACCCTGAAGCATTTCTAATCCAACTAGACACAAGCACCAGGAGGGTAAGTGGGTTGCAGGGAGTTTATGGCAGAGCTGGTGTAAAATGTGCCCACTGCTTTAACAGCAAGACCGGTTTTTCTGTTCTTCTCCCCAACGGGGTTTTGCTTTAAACAGGCCCAAAGGGAGTCCCTGAGGCCACAGTTTACCAGACTTTACACAGGAGCTCCAAGTTCTCCATGAGATGGATAGAAAATCAGCAATTGAACCCGGGTCTTCTGCGATCAGGCAGAAACCTCACCGGAGTCTTAAGCACACAATGGCCTAAAAGACTCTAACCTGGCTCTGGGTGCGGGTGTTCGTACCTGTGTTGGGCGCGCCGGCCCGGCTCTGGGCGTGGGGGTTCATACTGGCGAAGGGAGTGCTGGCCTGGCTCTGGATGTGGGGGTTCATACTGGCGAAGGGAGTGCTGGCCTGGCTCTGGATGTGGGGGTTCATACTGGCGAAGGGAGTGCTGGCCTGGCTCTGGATGTGGGGGTTCATACTGGCGAAGGGAGTGCTGGCCTGGCTCTGGATGTGGGGGTTCATACTGGCGAAGGGAGTGCTGGCCTGGCTCTGGATGTGGGGGTTCATACTGGCGAAGGGAGTGCTGGCCTGGCTCTGGATGTGGGGGTTCATACTGGCGAAGGGAGTGCTGGCCTGGCTCTGGATGTGGGGGTTCATACTGGCGAAGGGAGTGCTGGCCTGGCTCTGGATGTGGGGGTTCATACTGGCGAAGGGAGTGCTGGCCTGGCTCTGGATGTGGGGGTTCATACTGGCGAAGGGAGTGCTGGCCTGGCTCTGGATGTGGGGGTTCATACTGGCGAAGGGAGTGCTGGCCTGGCTCTGGATGTGGGGGTTCATACTGGCGAAGGGAGTGCTGGCCTGGCTCTGGATGTGGGGGTTCATACTGGCGAAGGGAGTGCTGGCCTGGCTCTGGGTGTGGGGGTTCATACTGGCGGAGGGAGCGCTGGTCCGTCTCTGGGTGTGGGGGTTCATACTGGCGGAGGGAGCGCTGGTCCGTCTCTGGGTGTGGGGGTTCATACTGGCGGAGGGAGCGCTGGTCCGTCTCTGGGTGTGGGGGTTCATACTGGCGGAGGGAGCGCTGGTCCGTCTCTGGGTGTGGGGGTTCATACTGGCGGAGGGAGCGCTGGTCCGTCTCTGGGTGTGGGGGTTCATACTGGCGGAGGGAGCGCTGGTCCGTCTCTGGGTGTGGGGGTTCATACTGGCGGAGGGAGCGCTGGTCCGTCTCTGGGTGTGGGGGTTCATACTGGCGGAGGGAGCGCTGGTCCGTCTCTGGGTGTGGGGGTTCATACTGGCGGAGGGAGCGCTGGTCCGTCTCTGGGTGTGGGGGTTCATACTGGCGGAGGGAGCGCTGGTCCGTCTCTGGGTGTGGGGGTTCATACTGGCGGAGGGAGCGCTGGTCCGTCTCTGGGTGTGGGGGTTCATACTGGCGGAGGGAGCGCTGGTCCGTCTCTGGGTGTGGGGGTTCATACTGGCGGAGGGAGCGCTGGTCCGTCTCTGGGTGTGGGGGTTCATACTGGCGGAGGGAGCGCTGGTCCGTCTCTGGGTGTGGGGGTTCATACTGGCGGAGGGAGCGCTGGTCCGTCTCTGGGTGTGGGGGTTCAGACTGGCGGAGGGAGCGCTGGTCCGTCTCTGGGTGTGGGGGTTCATACTGGCGGAGGGAGCGCTGGTCCGTCTCTGGGTGTGGGGGTTCAAGCTCTCTAAACAAGACAATGCTGTTCTGCTCTTACTAATGCTGGATGTAACAAAACAGAAGTATAACGAGACCTATTCACAGTAAGCAGGGAAATGAAAGAGAGGACAAGGGCTAGAGATGGATTCTCTTAATGCACATGGAAAATCACATTAAAAATATCACTAAATGCCTCTTGTGCAGTGTGCCTCTCTCTGTGCTAATTGCTGGAAAGAGGCAAAGCAGGAAAAAAGCACTACCATTCCTGTATTTGTACGCTGGCCTGGCTCTGGGTACGGGAATTTGTACCAGCAGTGGGCACGCTGGTCCATCTCTGGGTTCACCCCAAAGATTTGCGGTTGCTCCCGATCCAGGCACTGAAGCTCCTCTGCAGAAGAGAGGCAAACTGAAGTCTAAGAGCGCAACTCGCAAGCGTCCCCATCCAGCGTCTCCGGCAGTAACGAGGGCCCTGTGGCGTTAGCGCTGCCACGTACGTGACACACCTATTGCCTGAGATTTAGAGCAAATGACCCCGTTTCTAAACTAGCAATAAATACACCAGGACCCTGTACCGCCATGCCCCGAACTGAGCTGCCAGGAACAGGAACTGGTGCAAGGCCAGCAGTTAGCATGGGCTCGCTTCCAAGCGTGTTAATGTCCAGAGGCCTTTCAGCTGCAATTCATTAGAGGGCCGGCTTGTAGGGGGAGAAAGCCGAGGGGTGTGTGTGTCAGGGACTCATTGCCTTGGCCTAGGCCTTGGTAGGGGAAAAGTGAAGGGGAGGGGAAGGCGCAGGGAGGCCGGGATTCCTCTCTGGGGAATGTCTGACAGGCTGGGATGATGGCGGTGAGGAAAGCCAGGCCTGCCTC